GAAGATGGATCTGTGCTAAATATGGGTAACGAGTTACTGCACCTATTTGGGGGATTGGAGTTGTTAATCTACAATTTACTTCTAAGAAATCATGTTAGATTAAGTGATGTTTTATTTGTTCCTATAATTCATAAGTATTTGGCTAGTGGTGGTTGTTTGTGTTTTGGTTATAAACAAGTTTATAAAGCGGATAAGTATATCCTATCACGATATGGTAGTTTTGTTGGATTTGGTTGTTTTTATAATAAAAATGTTTCGTTTAAATGTGGTGAATCAAATTTCAAGTTCTAATAATTCTGCGTTTTTATCGTCATCGTCTTCTTCTAAAAATGATTCAACGATTTGGCATGCTAGATTAGGTCATATAAATTTTAGAAGAATGCATGAAATGTCAAAAGATGAATTTATTCCAGCCTTTGATATTAATGCAGAAAAATGCAAAACTTGTTTGCTTACAAAAGTTACAAAACAGCCTTTTTCGAATATTAAAAGAAATTCAACTGTTTTGGAACTTGTTCACAATGATCTATGTAATTTCCAATCCACTCCTTTGGGAAACAAGAAATATATTGTCACATTTATTGATGACAACACTCGGTTTTGCTATGTATATCTTTTGCATACCAAAGACGAAGCTTTGGAAAAGTTTAAAATTTACAAAACCGAGGTTGAATTACAATTGTATTGTTCAATTAAATATCTTAGAACTGATTGATGAGGAGAATATTTGAATCCCCAATACTTCCAATCAGTTGGTATAATCCATGAGACAACATCACCATACACACCTCAACAAAATGGAACTTCCGAACATAAAAATTTAGTTCTGAAGGAGATGGTAAACTCGATGCTCTCCTACTTGGATTGAGTGAGAGATTTTGGGGAGAGGCCATGTTAACAGCCTGTTACGTATTGAATAGATTTCCAAATAAACTGAACAAAACAACCCCATATGAACTTTGGTTCAAGAAAACTCCAAATTTGAGTTATTTTCGAATATGGGGTTGTTGGGTTGTTGTAAAACCATCTGAACCCAAAAAGAAATTTTTGGGTGAACGTGGAATCGATTGTATATTAATTGGATATGCAAAAAATTCCAAGGCTTATAGGTTATATGTAATAGAACCTAATGACTCGGTGTCGATAAATACCGTTATCGAATCGTGAGATGCGATTTTTTATGAAATGCGATTTTCATCAATACAAAGGCCTAATGAACTGATTCCTAGCACTACTAAAGTGCAAAATCCAGAAAAATTGGATGGTGTTTCCAGTCCGGAGACACAGCAGGCCCGGAGAAGCAAACGAGGCCGAATTGCCAAAAATTTCGGTCCAAATTTGCAATTGTATTTGGTGGAAGGTTAAAGGGATGCGCTTGGGCTTCAATATTCTTATTGTTAAAATATTGTGGATGAACCAAAAACTTTCCAAGAAGCCATGGAGTCTCGAGATGCCGTATTTTGGAAGGATGCAATTTATTATGAAATATCATCAATTCTTGAGAATAACACTTGGGTGTTATCAGATTTGTCTCTAGGTTCTAAACCATTGGGATGCAAATAGATCTTCAAAAAAGATGAATGTTGATTGGAAAATTGAAGAATTCAAGGACCGACTAGTCATTCAAGGGTTTAGACAAAAACCCGGTTTTGACTATTTTGATAATATGCTCCAATAGCACGAATTTCGACTATTAGATTGTTAATAGCCTTAGCGGCAATACAATTTGGTCATCCATCGAATGAATGTTAAATCAACCTTTTTAAATGGTGATCTTCATGAGGAAGTTTACATGAAACAACTAGAAGGTTACGTTATACCTGAAAACGAACATAAGGTATATAAATTGGTAAAATCCTTATACGGGCTGAAACAAGCACCTAAATGATGGCATCAAAAGTTTGATGAAGTTATTTTATCATTTGGTTTAACTTCAAATCAATATGACAAATGTGTATATATTAGATTTAATGCTACAGGTGCAGTTGTGATTGTTTGTATGTAGATGACATATTGATTTTTGGGACTGACCAAAATCGGGTAAATGAAAGTAAGAAATTGTTGTCATCTAAGTTTTCAATGAGACTTGTGAGAGGCTGATGTAGTCCTTGGAATAAGGATTAAACGGGTTAATAAAGGGATCGTTATGAAACAATCACATTATATTGAGAAAATTCTCAAGAAGTTCAATCATAGTGATTGTTCTCCCGTGACCACTCCTATGAACCCTAGTGTGAAATTAATGTCAAATACGGGAACCTCTATTTCACAACTAGTGTACTCTAAGGTTATTGGTAGCTTGATGTATGCCATGACGAGCACCAGACCCGATATAGCATATGTCGTAGGACGGTTGAGCCGGTCTAGTATTCAACATTGGCAAGCGGTTCAAAGAGTATTCAAATATCTTAAAGGAACCATGGATTATGGTTTGAGTTATTTGGGATACCCTTCGGTTCTAGAAGGTTATTCAGATGCAAGTTGGATATCCAACATGGAGGATCATTCCTCAACTAATTGTTCGGTATTTTTGCCTACATGAGGTTCCATTTCTTGGGCATCCAAGAAACAAACCTGTATCACAAACTCTACAATGGAATCTGAGTTTGTTGCATTAGATGCTGCCGGTAAAGAGGCAGAGTGGCTAAAGAATCTAATTTATGAGGTTCCATTATGGCAAAATCCGATTGCACCTATTTCTATCCATTGTGATAGTGTAACCACGTTGGCTAAGACTTATAGCCAAATTTACAATGGGAAGTCTAGACACTTAGGTGTTAGACATAGTATCATTAGAGAACTAATCATGAATGGTGTAATCTTTGTCAAGTTTGTTGGAATATAACAAAACTTGGCAGATCATTTAACTAAAGGTTTGATAGGAGACTTAGTGCACAAGTCTACAATCGGGATGGAATTAAAGTCCTTATAAATTTATAATGTTGAGACACCCAATTCCCTTTTAATATGACATTAGAAGCTGAATTCAATGAGGAAAGCTCACACTTATAAATTGGAACACGGTTTGAATCAACCCAGGTATGTGTTCGATACTGTAGTGGGTAGGTTGAAGATTATCTTTTTAATAATTCCTTTGATAAAGTGTATTTGCAGGTACACGAAGTAAATGAATTTACCTATGTGATTATGAAGTGCAACCGCATTTCAAAAGATTGGGGACTTGGCCTTTATACAATCATGAGAGGATTAGGAGACACGACTTATAATTTTGTTATGTTTACTTTACTAGACGAGTATAGTAAACTTGAATGTATTTTATCTTCAGGTATTCAAATGAGTGGACACCTTGATTCTCGAATATTTGGAACGTGTAAAGTACTAATATGGAAATTCAACCGATTCAATATTTTCATTTATGTGCAAGTTTGGTTTGTTCAAATTTAAGATATTATTTCATGGATTACACTAAAATGGGGGAGGATTGTTGGTGATTTTAGTGTCACCGACCATTTGAGTGTAATTGGAAGTAACACGAGTGATATGGGGTTTCATATTGTGTTCTAATACAAGTCAGGAAGTGCGGAGTGCACACTTGTATATAAGGCAAGTTTGATCTCGAACACGATGAAATGGCAGGGGTCAAGGGGTTGTGCCCCTTGCGGGGTCCAAGGGGCAGATCCCTTGGCGGTTTGGGGCAACGCCCCAAAAGCTCTTCAGAATTTTGGTGTTGGAATGTAATGGAGAAACGTATCCGGACTTGGTGCACGTGCATAAACAGTTATTGTGCAGTTAATGCCAACACATGATCTTAGCGAAATGGTTGTAACTGTCCATTACTCCTAATAATGAACCTTGATTACCATTTCAGTTATTTTTCCTTATGTAGTTAGTATAAATACAATTTACACTTATGTTTTTAGACACATTTTTTGAACAAATCTTGCTATACTCTCCAGTAAACTTGCTTTCATTTTGTGCCTAAAAACGATAGTGCTCTTGAGTCTTATCATATATTGAATTTCGTGAAACCCAGACATAGGGTCGAAATATCAATACGGAAAGTGATCTCACACAATTTTCAAGTAATCCGATTTCTTGATCGATAGTTTTACCCTATAATCTTTAATCCTGTTTAAAAATCTCTCATCTAACTTCATCCTTAAATGTTTTCTTCTGTACCGAAGCAAAGTGAAGTAACAACAGTGACAATGACAGTAGGGCAAATCAAGAACAAAGCAATAAGAACAGACTGAAGAGTGTAAATTGGGAGCAACATTACAACATATTGACATTGCTATTGTTGTTCAATCTTCAAATTTTTGTTGGTAAAATCGATGTTGTTAATTGTTGCTCGACAGCCAGTCCCTTGCTTTCCTCTTCTTACTATCTACATTCATCTGTTATTTGTATGGCTACATCTTGATGCTTCAAAAGATACAAAAAAGAATCAATGATTATGAACATGTGAAAGAGTAGGATAAATAATGAACTAAGGTGGTTTAATTCATGAGGAAACGACTTCTTGAATAGAGGGATAATTGTGGAAATAAGATATCATTGAATGGCATGTTGATGTCCTATAAAATGAGCAATTTGAAGAGGGTTGGACATATTTTGAGTTTGTTAAATTTTATCAAACAAGATTCATCTCTGTCAAATCAAAGTAGAATCTAAACAACTTCATTCAGATGCAATCAAACTATCCTAATACTTAYGARCTATAATCAAACTATCCTAAMAMMATMATTCAGATGCAATCAAACTATCCTAACAACATCATTCAGATGCAATCAAACTATCCTAATACTTATGAACTATAATCAAACTATCCTAACAACATCATTCAGATGCAATCAAACTATCCTAACAACATCATTCAGATGCAATCAAACTATCCTAATACTTATGAGTTATAATCATACTTTATATGAATAAAGAGGGAAGTATTGTCTTTTGTAATAAGTAGGAGGGGTACAATTGAAATATTGTTTGTTGGGTTGTTAGTGGTGACATGATGGGGGAAGAGTGTAGGAAGAGTATCCAGAAATACAATTGCTCTAATTTCTCTCTTCTATCCCCTACTCCCTTCTCTTCAACCTCAATTCTCTCCCATTTCTTTTGATCATTGAATAAAAATGGTTGCGAATGTTACAGGAAACATTCCAATTTGCCCAACGATGCTAGCTGCACAATGGGTCTCTCCCAAATCCCGTTTTATTGCCCTAAATACATTACCACCATCAATATCCCCAAAAAGGCACCCACTTACTGTAAAAGCTGCGTCTCAAGATACCGAAAACACCCAACAACCCTCATCGTCGTCGTCTTTAGAAAGCAATAAGAAGAACCCACTTGCCGTTGCTCTCGATGTTCCTCAGACTCTCTGGAAACAAACGTTGCGCCCACTCAGCGATTTTGGGTTCGGTAGGAGGAGCATTTGGGAAGGCGGGGTTGGATTGTTTTTGGTTTCTGGCACTGCGTTACTTGCACTTAGTTTGGTCTGGTTACGAGCTTTTCAATTGAAGTCTAGGTTCAGAAAATATGTTGCCGTCTTTGAATTTTCTCAGGCTTGTGGGATTTCCACTGGAACCCAAGTGCGGATCAGAGGAGTCACTGTTGGTAACGTTATTCGTGTTAATCCTTCTTTGAGAAGTATTGAAGCTGTTGTAGAGGTTAGTTTCAAAGTTCCTTCATCTTATTTAGTTCTTCATTATGAAATTGTTCAAGTATGTTTGCAATGTAGGTTGAAGATGATAAAACGATTATACCCAGAAATTCATTGATTGAGGTGAATCAATCTGGTCTTTTAATGGAAACCATGATCGATATTACACCTCGAGATCCAATTCCAACACCTTCAGTTGGGCCTTTGGATCCAGATTGTGTGAAAGAAGGTGTGATTTTGTGTGATAGAGAAAAGCTGAGAGGATATCAAGGTGTAAGCTTGGATGCATTAGTTGGGATTTTTACTCGCCTTGGAAGGGAAGTAGAACAAATTGGAGTTGCTAACACTTATGCATTGGCTGAACGAGCTTCATCTGTTATCGAAGAAGCAAGACCATTGCTTTTGAAGGTGTGATTTTGCCCATTTTACTACCCATTTCTTGATGAATTTAGTATGTTGTTGTTTATTTTTATCTGGTTATTTGAGCAAGAGGATCTCAAATTCGAGTCTATGACCATCGTTATCTTTCACTTTAGGGTCTATGTTTGGCAAACTAACTAATAAGCTAGTTGTTGGCTGAATGGTTAAGCTAGCTGATAAGCTAGATGGCTATGTAAAATAACTTAAAAAGGATATGTTGAAGAAATAGCCGGAAAAATATAAGGGCGTGATTAAAAAAAAAAAGTGGAAAAAGCCCTTGTGGCTTATTGAAACGATAGCTTATGGCTAACCAAACGAGGGTTTTTCAACAAGCTCTAAAAATAAGATAGCTTATGGATGCCAAACATGGCCTTAGTGTCCTCAATTCCATAAGATGAATGTATTTAAATAGCATTACATTTGTTATGATGGCCTTAAAGTATAGAGAAAAAAAATGCAAACACATAAATATACTTCTATTTGCCTTATAATCACCCCTTAAAATTAGTAACCTTAAGTTTGGTCCACAGGTTTTTCATTTCTTTTTGTCATTTTCAGGAGTTTTAGAATCTTGATCAATATCCACTGTTTTGGATATCTGGAGAGGTATATGTATGCATCTTTAGGTTACTATAAGAAAAAGCAAGGTCTAGAGAGTTTGGTATAAAGAAATAAAGCACATCTTGTGATGAAGTTTTAGAAGCTTCATGCAAATGCTCGAATTCAGATTAACAGATTTTTCAGTTGTAAGCTTGTGACCTGGTAACATATCTTCTTCCTCATGGAAACTAAATTACTTTAAATCAGAAAAGTGAAGAAAAAAAGAAAAAAGAGCTTCGAGCCCTTTAGAAGTGGGATTTTAACTATCTAGCTTTGACTATGGTTTTGCAACGGATTTATGTCAGCTTTGAAGTCTTGTATGTTCATATCGTGTTTTATGTTGGGATTCATTATGATGATAGAAAGTGTCATATGCGGTTCAATTTGTATAGTAAGCTTATATTTATGGTATCACATGGGGTAATCCTAGTGGTGGGCAAGTTCAAATGAGAACCATAAATATTTTGAGAACTGGGGAATCCCCCACCTATTTCATATATTATTCATAATAAATATCATGATACATATTCATGCTTATTCAGGGATATTCATTATAAATACTACATGAAATAGGTAGGTTCTTGGTCCTCAAAATCTATATAGTTCTCATTTGGACCTGCCCCTCCTAATGTAACTAGGATAAAAATCTTGGGAAAAAGAATGAGCATGCTTTCCTAGCCATATTTCCCATTTATAGCTTACCCATTTGTAGTTCTGGCCTCCACAGTTCTAATAATCCTTGCTTCGAGTCCCTTTCAGCCTCATAACACTTACTTCCATTAGCAACCAATCGGTTTCAGAAAATTAAAGCCAGATTCAGTAACTTTCATAAATCGGCTTTTTCTCAGCTTGGAGGGATTATTCCATTCCTTTCTGAGTAATTGTGTCAATGAATGTATCAAAAATCCATAACAGTTTCAAATATAACACATTAGCCGTCAATATCACAAAAAGTGACTCAATGAGGTGAACGATGGGTTTAAGGAGGAAACTGTTGTGTTCAAAATATGATCTCAAGGAGATGATGCCATGAATGAACCAAGTAGAAGTGAGAGATCACTTTGTTGATGATGGTACCTTGTTTAGTGTGTGTTTTTCTTGAGTTTATTATGCTTCACCATTGTCATATATGTTGAGAAAAAATTTCAGTTATCGTCTATCACAAGAATAATGTATTCAAGGTGTATGATAATGTGACGTAAATAGTTTTTTTAGAAAGCTTAAAAGGTAAAATAGTCATTTGACTGCATGCAAGCTTGGAAACTCACATTTCGACTCGACCTGCACAAGTTATCGTGGTGAATGACATTTGATTTAATTTATATAAAGAATCCTATTTAGGTGTTTGCTGCATGTGGTTTTGATTTATGAAAGCTTAATATGTGCAATTAAAGATCATTATTGTTGTTCCTCACAATTTAGCATATTTGTGTTTCTTTCTTTCTATTTGTATTGCTATTGCTTACTCGTATCTAGCTTTTCAAATTTTAGCATATCTGTATTTCTTCTTTCACATGCTTTGTCTTCACTGGAATAGACATTCTACTATGTTAGGATAGAGACCCCAACTCCAGATGGGATATACTGGGCTCGTTTGGGTGCATATATGTCTTGTCATGACTATAACCGTGTTCAACAATGGAGTTGCAATGTATTTTCGTGAACCAACTTTCCCTTTTACGTTTCTCAGATCCAGGCCATGGCCGAGGATGTTCAACCGTTGCTGGCTGAGGTTCGTGATAGTGGTTTGCTGCAGGAAGTTGAAAGTTTAACCAAAAGTCTGACTCAAGCATCAGAGGATTTGAGGTAAATCATACCCGTGTTCGATTGAATATTTTATGAAATATAGGCTCCTAACGGGGAAATGTATTTGTCAATTGGCAGAAGGGTACATTCGTCAATTATGACGCCCGAAAACACCGAGTTGATTCAGAAGTCAATATACACCCTTGTATTCACTTTGAAGAATATTGAGGTTTGCTTGCAAGCTCATTCTTCACTTTTTTTTTTTCTTTCTGCTCTGTTTCCCTGATAACATTTACACTTTTTCAGAGTATAAGTTCCGATATTTTGGGATTTACGGGCGATGAAGCTACGAGAAAGAATTTGAAGTTGGTGATCAAGTCACTCAGCAGGCTTTTGTGAAGATTTGATACAAGAACAACAACAATTGCTGAGTTTCTGATTGTGAAAATGTCTATAGATCTTCCTGTTGTGATTGGGTTTTTTAGTATGCCTATTATTGTGTGATACTACACATTTTGTTAGTTGAGTCGAGTTCGGGTTTTCAAGTAGGATTGAATCTCTGAAATGGTACCTGCTACTTTGTATTACATGATTTTTAAATAGGACGTTTTTATTTTAAAAAAATGTCATAAAAAACTTGTTAGGATGTCCAAAAATGTCTTATTTAAAACTTATAAACTGTTACATCAAATTTGGTCCATGTAGCAACCTGAATTGGTAGATGTAACAACAATCCATGTTTTTTTTTTGTCTTGATTTCATGCTCATGCCTTGCCGATGAACTCGACATCAAACAACAGAACCGAATCTGGTGGAATGAGGCAAGAACCTGCAAACGTTTACCATTGAAACATGATCAGATACATTGGTTTTGATTGTTCTTTTTTGTGGGTTTTGGTTTTAAAGTCTGTTTACCTCCTTTACAACCAGCTCCTCGCATGCCATATCCGAGTTGTGGAGGAAGCTTCAACGTCCGTTTTCCTCCTAATTTCATCGATTAATCAATCAAAAACGGAATGGAAAGAAGATGGGTATGTGTAATCACATTAGTTTCATACCAGCAAGCATTGGAGGAACTCCATTCCCACCTAGAATACCCTCATCCCATCCTTTAATCACCTGTTATCGACACAAACTGAGTAAGTGCTTACTGTTATCGTCTCGTTCGTTTACTAAGTAAGATTCTCAGTCATCAAACATAGTATATGAGTCGGTGACTCTTGTCAGGTAAGAGGTAAATATGTGTTTAGGTATCAGGTAAGAGACGGTAAGTGTTATTTGGTTTTGGTACCTCACCAACGCCGACACGGAATGTGAGGGGTTTCCCTCGATTGTAGCTGCTATCGAAGACCTTCCCGTTTTCGAGTTTGCCGACATAATGTGCCTGTATCAGCGAATTGAATAAGCAGGTGAGAAGTTGAATTGAGGATGGTGTAACTGAAAGGAAGGAGATTGACCTTGATGAGTTGACCTTTCTGAGGTTGAGGCCCATAACCCACAAGTTTATCACAAAAGGCAAGTCCTGAATCAGCCACCGTGAACTCACACGGTGTGGCGGTCATGGATTCTGGCGCGGCGGAGGCTGGTTGAACAGAATCAAGAAACTTGAGACACAGTCCAAAACCAATGGCTCCTCTTCTTGTCAAGGGTTTGAAGGAGTGGTTGTTAGTTATGGTGGGGTGGTTGTGGTGGTGGTGGTGGTGTGGTGGTGGTGGTGGTAGCGGTGGTGGTGGTGGTGAGGAGGAGGATTTGATAGGTGTAGGAGACAAAAGGGAGAAGGGGAGTGAGGTGGTCATTTCTGCACTCTAATCCAACAAACAAACTACAGGGGGATAAGATGGGAAAGTTATAGCAAGAGCATGCACCCCTTGATTTGGAATATATTAACAAAATCACCCCTGGGTTGTTGGGATATAAAAATCTACATCACAAAATCCTAAGGTTGCGTTTGGTTTGCAGGAATGTTTCTGGGGGATTTGGATTCCAAGGAGGGATTTGGATTTCATGGGRTTTGGATTGGATTGGATTTAAAATCCATTCCTGTGTTTGGTTTACAGGATTTGGATTGGATTTGAAATTCATTCCTTTATAAATCATGTTTGGTTTTAATTATTTTAGTAATCAAATCTCTTTCATTTCTCAAAACTACCTATTTAACCATCAATCCTATTAATCCAAAATACATATTTAACAATCAAACTTTTTCATCCAAAATGCATATTTAATCAACAAACATGTTAATCGAAAATACATATTTAACCACCAAACTTGTTAATCCAAAATACATATCTAACTACCAAATTGTTATTCCAAAACCACACATTTATCCACTGAAAGATGAAACAATATCCACTCCATTGAACAATTGAAGGGACAATAGGCACGGAAAATGAATAAATGACGATTTGAATGACTGTGATTCATGAGGTAAAGTCTCCTCTCATCCCATAGTGTCAAACAAACATCATCTTTTCATCCAAATGGAATCACCATTTTCATTCCCTACCTTATTCCACCGTGCCAAACTTGTTCTAACTCGTTTAAAGAAAATCAAGAAAGCAACGATCCAAAACAACATTTGAATTCAAACAATGGAAAACCTCTTTATGGGTTCTAAACATTCCAAATTTCCAATTCAAATACTAGTATAAAAATGTTTTCATGAGTTCAATAAAAGGAAGCAATACAATTCAATCTCGAGTATTTCACTAGTAATCTTAGACTGTCGTTGGCGATTATAAGCATTCGAAAGAGTCTTCTTCAAATCAATCGCGTTATCAATAGCGTTGTTCATTACATTCATCCTAGCAGCAAGCTCACTTGCTAATGACTCTTGTAATGCCCTCAAGATTTGATTATTCAAATATAGAGGCATCAATGCATCAAGAATCTGAACAGGGTCTTGTTCAAACTCCATATTTGGCAAAAACCCCTCCTTTTTGCTCATCAATTTATTCCTCTGCACATCCAATTTCCCCTCAATGGACAACAGAACTGACTGAAAGTTATTAACAACAAATTCATCAAGAATAATTCCAATGAACTGGCCATTTACAAAGCTTAAAATCAAGTCGAGCAAGCAAATGAGTTGTTATAAAGCCTGTCTTCTGTTGGCTATTTCTCTAGGTAATTCCAATGAACTAGTCATATACGGTTATACATGAATTAATTGATGCTAAAAAAGTGCTGCTTTCATAAGTTGATTACCACATTCCCAACAACAATCAAATATAGAGATAGAAATGCAAAAACAGAGACATCAATACATAAGAACCAGAACCCTACAGAGAAAGATAATAACATCCCACCTCATGTGAATAGATATGATGTGCTCACAATATTATGAAGAAAAAAGTATGTCAATACTGGGACACACGACTGTTAGCAGTTCTATGAATTTTAGGTAGCGTAGCATATGAAAGCCCCATATCATTACTGGTGCAAGTTGGGCATAACAGATATCTTTGTTTCATACATAAGCATCAAGAACGATCTACAATCAAGCACCAGAAGCATAAACAATATGAACTTTTCATAAACTAAAAGGGAGTAGTCAATTGCTTATGCATGAAAACCATGTTTGAAATTAACCTAAGAGGGTACATGTCTGACTCCATTAAAACCATGTCTGAAATTAACCTAAAAGGGTACTGTTAATTGCCTTTTGGAGAAAAGGAGAGCATATAAATATGAAAAAAAGACAATGGATGCAAAGAGAAATTAAAAGCAAAATAAACAGACATCTGAATTGAAAGTTGAAAACCATCCAATGAAAAAGAAGATGCCAAGTGGTTAGGTTGGTGAGAGATTAGGTAAGGAAAAGAGTAGGTGAAGCTGTAAATACTGTGTTGATGTTTGTTTACATCACAAAATTCTTTTGGTGGGAGGCTGGGTACTAGAACACAATGGATATTGCACATCGAGGTGCTTTTTTGCTTTCAAGCTATTTGTTTCTTTACAAATGGAAATTCTGAACCATTTGGCTTTATGGAAGAAAAGATCATCTTTTATTGTGCGCTATGCTAGAAACTTTAGATTCTTAAATGAGCAATTCACAATTCACTCTAATGGTCTTCCCGACTCCTTTCTCTGTTCCCAATGGATTTGGTTCTTTTTTTCTAATTTTTCTTATTTTCATTTTGTACAGCTTGCCATTTCCATTTCAATAGCAGACATTCTGTGCATATACATCAATCATTCATCTTCGGATACACCTATTATTAGATGAGACTTGTACAAAGAGGATTTTTAAGAAAGGTAGAGATAGACGTAGATTGAAAGAWTGTATTATACCAAAGGATTTAACCTAATTCATATATTCCTATGTAGGATAATCTGTCAAAATAGTTGCTATTAAAAAGGGTATTCAAACACAAAATGTAAAAGCATCAATAAAATACTACAAAAGGAGAAAAGGGATTTACCTGACTGATGGGAGAAGGCGGCGAAGAGGAAGGGTTTATCGGTGGGTTAGGGCAGCTTCGYGAGGGGACGGGAAGGGAGCACCRTGGTGAGGACGACCGATKAGGGCACAAYGATGGGAGGGAAGCGATGGGAGGGAAGCTGGGTGAAGGAAGMGGGAGGAAGCGATGGGAGGATAAGATAGGATTTGGATTTCAAATCCCGCCCCTTTGCAAAGGATTTCCAAATCCCGCGTCTAATGGATTTTAATGAAATCCCAGGATTTCAAATCCTAACAATTTGGCAAACCAAACACAAGATTGGAATGGATTTTAAATCCAAATCCCCCAATTCCATTCCATTCCTGCAAACCAAACGCGTCCTAAGATGTGTTTCGTTGGTTAACATATTAAAAATGCAACAATCCTTAAATTTTATTAAATTTCACAAATTAATGAATTTATCATTTTTTGACATAAATAAAGGAATTTAATTCCATTCCTTTGCATCCAACTTAACAAACACCACCACCTCTACCCTAACCATGACAATGTTACTATTGTCATCGTCATGCCCCCACCCTTAAACCCCCCCACTACTTTCCTTATCCCAATTCCTAACCCCAACCCATCTTCGACCATCATGCCATTATTGTCTAAGTCACAACTGCCACCCCCACCCCTACACACACCCACAACACCCTTACCTCACCTCGCCACCGGACCTACCAACTAGTTCTGATTTGTTTCAATATATACCAACCAAATGCGTAGTCAAATTCCATCAAATTTCTTCAAAGTCAAATTCCTTTGAAGGATTCCAATTCCACCAAATTAGCATAACCAGACACTCCTTAAGTCTCATTTATGTCCACCAACCATGTGAGTACATGATACATCATGTGTGTGTGTGTGTGTGTGTGAGAGAGAGAGAGAGAGAGAGTATGAACATATATTAAATAAATTTATATTAACTAAAAATATGATACATCTTCATGTTATTGGTGGGACATAATTGAAACAAGAATGTTTGTGACAAGCGATCTTTTTCCCGCTTATTTTTTAAATTACTGGTTTAGGGTTTAATAAATAGTAATTTAATTTGAATTATGTAGATTTAATCCCAAACATAGCCGACACGGGGCTATAAACTATAAAGGCGGTTGATTTGAATTATGTAGATTTAGTCCATATGGTTTGTATTTAATACAAGCAAGTGTAGGTCCCACACATTATGCAGTAGTGATAAATATTTTAAAAAAGTATATGTCCAATTAACATAAAAAGTAAGTCTTTAGTTAAAAACTAATGAGATACAAATTAAAATGAAGAATGTATTTTTATAAGTGGTTCATATCATATATTGATAACCATATGTTGTTACGAAGAGTTTAAGATGTATCGGTGATAATTTGTTGTTATGCTATTTAGAACTCAAACGACATGTCACACAACCATATTACTATTGTTGTTACGGGTTTGAAGATTCTTTCTTCCAAAAAAATGGTTCGACTAAAATTAGCCAACCCTATGAGTTGCTAGAAATAAGCATTCTCTCCTCTTGTCAATATATACTCACATGGTTCATAAAATTTCATTTTCTCACTAATGTGGGATTACCAAACTCACCACATTTCAAATTTATATAAAGCACACCTTCTTTATTTCTTATAGTTACCTTCATTCTCCAATCTAACATTCTCTCATCAATATGGAATGATTAAAATAACAGCAAACACAAGGTTTGAGAATATACAAATCTTATAATGTCACTTTAAATATCATTGGTTATTTCTTTTATACATATAAATGTTCAAATCTTAAACATTACATTCATAAAAGTTTATTCACAATACAACTAACAAATGAACAAACAACTCTAACTACGTAAGAATCACAACTTAATCATCTAAGAAACTACAAAAGATAGAGAGAGAAAGCAATTAGATTTGAAATATGAAACTGGAATTATGAACGAAAATAGCTTCCAAACTCCTATAAATATGATTTGAGAAATGACGATAATAGTCCTTCAACTCTTTGACCACTTGCTCCGCTACCCTCGATGTTTCCCAAATAGTGAGGCACGATCCTCCTCTTTAGATCTTCAGATTTTAGACTTTTAATCCTTTATAGAAATAGTCCCTCGAAAGTAAAACAAGAAACAAAAGTTAAGACTGTAAAATATTATATATTTTAACATCATCCCTCAATCTTTACTTTTGAATAAATCAATCATTTGTAATTTAGAACACAAGTAATTATGATGATTTATACCAAGAGCTTTTGTAAAGATATCGTCATGTTGTTGAGAAGATACAATTTTAACAATCTTTATCAAACCTTTACTGATGTTATCTCTAATTTGATGGACATATATTTCAATGTGTTTAATACGTTCATGAAAAACTAGGTTATTAGCAATTTGTATTGCAGATTTATTATAACAGAACACTGAAACATGTAATAATTCTGAAATATTTAAATCATTTTGAATTTTTAGAACCCATAAAACATCACAAGCAACGGACGCCATTGCTCTGTATTCAAATTCTGCAGAAGAACGGGAAACAGTACTCTGTTTCTTGCTTTTCCAAGATATCATAGAGTTCCCTAAAAACAAACAAAACCCAGTAACTGAACGTTTAGAAGAGAGGCACTTACCTCAATCAACATCAACAAAGGCTGTCAAAGAAAATTGATCAGATCTGGTGAAGCTAGCACCTTTACCGGGACACAACTTTAGGTATCTAAGAACTCTAAGGGCAAGATTAAAATGAGACTATTTAGAAGAATGCATATATTGACTCAAATAATGAACTGCAAAAGCAATATCTGGTCTGGTATCAAGTAAGTATATCAGTTTACCAATCAAGTTTTGATATCCAGTATAATCAGATAAAGGAGAATCCTTATTATTACTAGAGTTAGACACAACTAAATTTTTATCCATTGGTGTATTGCAAGGTTTGCACCATAAATAACCCAATTCATTAAGAAGCTCTAAACAATACTTTCTTTGAGTCATACAAACTCCATTTATACAGTCTAAAATTTCAATACCTAGAAAGAACTTCAACTTTCCCAAATCTTTTATTAAAAATTTACCTTTTAAGAAGATCTTGACTTTTATGGCAAATTTCACAAGGGCCACTATTTCCATTGTCAATCTTGAGACTATGCTTTAAAACGTTTAAAACCTGACTGGCAGGATGACCAAGGCGACTATGCCATAACTGGGCAGAAACTAAACATGACATATTCATGCTTTAAGAGTTATTATGATTAGACTCACAATACAAATTTTGATCGAAGTAATACAGACCTCCTTCTTGACTACTAGTCCCCACTACATTCCTTTGTATCGAATCCTACACATAGCATTTAGACTCATCAAATCCCACAACCACCTTGTTGTCTCTAACAAGTTTATGAACAGACATCAAGTTGACATTGAAGTCTGGGACAACCAACACATAAAGTAAAGTGACATTATTAGACAATTTAAAATCTCCAATTTCCTTATCTTAGCTTTAGTTCCATTAGGATATGTAACTCTAAGATCAAGGTCAGATATGTCCACAATATTTTAAAGAAAACCAATATTGTAAGTCATATGTTGGTTTGCACCAGAATCAATAATCCAACTTGACCTAAGAGAGTTAAAGTTACCTGCCATATTAGCAGTAGCCGCCTCGGAGCATTTATTTTGCTCAATTAGACCAACAATCTTAGCAATTTGGTCTTTAGAAAAGGGAAAGGAGGAGTTGGAGGCACCCAACTTAGTAGAGTTGGATTTAGGATATGTTGATTCAGAACCACAAACATTATTAATAGAACCTTTAAAAGATTGATTTTGAGGTTTCAGTCGATTTTGGAAGTTACTAGGGAACCCAATCAACTTAAAACACCTCTCAATAGTATGTCCAGAGGCCCCACGGTGTTTACAACTTAGGGAATTTACTCTACCCAGCCGACGTCTATTGTCATTGGTCTTACTTGAAAAGGCAGCATTTTGAGGTCCATATTTAGATTGAGACATGTTTCCCCCTCGATGAGACTCTTCCCTTGAAACCAAAGAAAAAGAAGTTTTAACGGAGGGAAGGGGATCATTAGTGAGAATATTACTTATGATGAGTTGATATGTGTCATCAATACCCATCAGAAATTGCATGAGCTTAATAAGTTTGGTGTGTTCAAAAAACTCTTGAGAAGAATTACAAATGCATGAGGGTAGCTTGACAAAGGCATCAAATTGTTTCCATAATGAATTCAGTTTATGATAGTACTTAGAAACAGAGGTCCCATTTTGGCTTAAGCAGTTAATTTTCTGATACAAGTTAAACATGACAGATTCATCAACTTTATCATTGGTTTCTTTTAATTCATCCCAAACCTTAGAGATCTCTATGGAGAACACTTGTTCTAAAAAGAGATCCTCGGTCATAGAACTCATAATCCAAGATAGGACAACTGAGTTACAACGATCCCATTGTATGTGATAACTGGGTCTTGGTTATCACCCGAGGTAATTAATACGTGATTATTTGTTAAATGATTACGTGAAAGCATGATAAATTATTATAATTGATCATGCGGGAATATGTGTGTTATGCATGAGAAATGTATGCATAAATATATATATATATATATATACATATGTAAATGTGTATGTATGCATGGTTTTTTTGCTTATGGGTTGGGTAAGCATGTGAGCATAGCCGCCTTCCATTTTTGGAAGGGGTATAAATAGGATGTGAGGCTCACCATTTAAGCTTCTTGGCCATTTTGAAAGTAGAAAGAGATCTGAAAGTGAAGTTGTCTGGATTGCTTATTTGGTTTGAATTCTTGAAGACTGATTTCAAAAGAAATCCAAAGGTGAGTAAATATTATTCATCCTATTTCTTAATTGAAAGTAATTCCATTGAGTTAAGTATTGGAACATATTAAAGAACTACTACCCGGATTAGACTTTAAATAGGACAAGTGTTTGTTCGGGTTGAATTAAACCGGACAAGGGTTTGATCGGATTGGACTTAAACAGGACATAGAGTTGTCCAAGTTAGAAAAACCCCGCTTGTAGTGTTAACCGGATTGAGTGATTTGAAAATATGTAAATCGGTTATGACCTTATAACGGAGAAGTAGGAATACGATCAGTGTTGCCCGATATGTTTTAAACTGAATGATGTATTGTCCGGTTTAGATGTAAATCGGACAAGACTTTAAGAAGTGTTGTTCGGATTTGTAAATCGGACAAGGACTTGTGTTTTCCAGATTAATAAATCGGACACAGGATGAGTTGTCCAGATTAGTTAAACCGGCCAAGGCTTGACCGGAGATGAAGTCTGACCAAGTCTGTGTTGACCGAACTTGTGCATTGACTTATGTATTATTCATCAAAATCATCATTTTAATATTCTTTTATAAAGAATGGGGATTTTTTGATAAAGATGATTTTGAACTAATACTATTTCACTAGAACATTTTTGATTGCGGTCTGTTCTAATTGGAATTATTTTGTGAAGCAATTTATGAGGAAATAAGGGTGGCATATCAAAGAGAGGTGTACCATGTGATAAGGGTGACATATCAAGGAGAGGTGTACCTTTGGATATAAATGTAACATTTGTACATGTGATGTATAATATAACTCTTACTATTATATCATTTAAGATTACTGTGATTCAGAATCTTTATTTCTTTGTGATTTAAAGATTTAGAGTCAGGGTTCTTTTTAAAAATTATAGTCTGGATGTAATTAAGGAAAGAATAACAGGTTTGGCTTGAAACTTTGTATAAACCTTGTTTAATTAAAAAGGTTTAAAAGTAGCATTATATGAAACCTGGTTAGTCACAACCTATCTGGGCTTGCATGTATTATTTGGAAGCCAAGAGATTGGCTTTGGAATTTGAAAGATGTTGGCATTATACTTTACTTGTTCATATATTTGTTATATGTATGAAAAGTTGTTTTGAATAAAGTTTTGGTGATACTCACCCTGCAATAGCATAAAAAGGGAACTCACTAGACCTTTCGGTCTAACCCTCGTTTTGTGATTTTAAATGTGTGTTGTAGGAGGTGCAGACGGTAAGGAGAAAGGAAAAATGTGATATTTTCCATTTTGCATGTCTATTTGAAGATTTACTCATGATGTGTATAGTTTTGATTCAAGAAGGATGATTAGTACAAGAATTGTATTTTGAATTTTTGGTCCATGTATTATGTATTGGCAGATTCTTGTACTAAGGGACCTATGTGGTGTATAAACATTTATTTCTTATGTATGGAATATGTGTTACATGCAATGTGTGATATGGGGTGTTACATTGTCTTTCTAAGACGGGATCGTTTACAGGTCGAGAACAAGACCCATCAATAAAGCCAATTTTGTTTTTGGTTTCTGAAGACAGTATCATGACACAAGTCCACATTTTATAGTTTTCAGTCCCACTAAGTTTAACATTCAATAAAAGAGATCCACTAGTATCACTGGGATGATGGTAAGATGGATCTTCAAACCAAATTGGTGACCTTGGATTCCACTGGCCTACCAGTGACAACCTCAGAAAGAGACATAAGCACAAAAAAGAGATTGAACAGATAGAAGCAAGATTCCTAAAACACTCGAGGTGCTAGTTCAAACTAACTATTCAGCTCTTAAAGAACAAAGCATAAAGGAAACAGAACACACCCAAACCTTAAGAACCAGGCAAACAGAATTAAGACAAGAAGCAATAACTACATATAGCACGATAAGAAACAAGAGAAGGGAGAAGAGAGAAACAACCTGAATCCACCAAGCTCTTTTAACAAAGAGTTAAAAGAAAAGAATATGAGAAGCATGCAATAGGTCAGGAAGAAAACCTGAACGAACAAAATAACTCCAACCTGGAACAACACAAAAATAGAAAGATAGGAATGCAAAGATATACACACAAGAAAGACAAATAACAAAACCAAGTATAGTACCAAGAAGGAACAAGACAAATCTACAAGATCCATTAATCACGATGGTTGTTACGCATTTACTTAGTTGAGAAAAATAAGATAGACAACCATAACAAAAATAGGAAGAAAAAAAAGAAGAAAAGAAGGACCGAGATCTAGAAGATCTCAAAAAATAGGCTGAAAAAAGAATACAGAATACCCGGGATCAAACAGATCCTAGCACAAAACCAGATTTTAAAAGAACTTTGAGACTAAAACGAATTAAAGAGGTATTTCGATTAGGCTAGCGATAGATCTAGGCAGATCGTTAAAATCAGTCCTAAAAAAAACCCCAAACAATTACTCACGAAAAAAAAAACAAAAGACTAAAACAGCTAAAAACAAACAAATATAAAAGACGCCTAAGCAAGAGTATATTAGTCACGGTTGGAAAGAACACGAGATCTAAGCAGATCTGCAAAACCAAGCCAATGAACTGAGCATTTACTCAAGAAACAGAGAAAAATATTAATAACAATAGACTTAAGCAGATCTACGAAACCAACCGATGAACCAAGCATCTACTCAAGAAATAGAAAAATATTAACTACAACAGATCTGAAACCACAACGAGTATATTAGCCACGGTTGGAAGGACGAGATCTAAGAAGATCTTATGAAGCCAAACCGATTAAATAAGCATTTACTCGAGAAAAAGAATTAATCACAATAGATTTGAAGATCACAACATAAAATTATTAACTACAACAGATTTAAGCAGATCTACAACACCAACCGATGAACTAAGCATTTACTCATGCAAAAGAATTATCAAATTTGAAAACATAATACGAGTATATCAGCCATGGTTGGAAGAAAGAACGAGATCTAATGAGATCTACGTAACCAAATCGATGAACTGAGCATTTACTCAAGAAAAGGAAAAAACAATTAACCACAACAAATCTGAAATCTCAACATGAGTATATCAGTCACGGTTGAAAAAAACTAGATTTAAGAAGATCTACAGTCAAACCGATGAACTGAGCATTTGCTCAAGAACAAGCAAACCAAAAATCGAACTGATTTAGAAAGGAAGAAGAACATACCTGAGAGAATCATTAAAGCCAAGAACCCTATCGAACGATAGAACCATTCACAGATTCAATAACCACCGATTCCGTGAAGTCGCCCTGATATCATGTTCAAAATCTTAAACATTACATTCATAAAAGTTTATTCATAATACAACTAACAAATGAACAAACAACTCTAACTACGTAAGAATCACAGCTTAATCAGCTAAGAAACGACAAAGGATAGAGAGAGAGAAAGCAATGTAGATTTGAAATATGAAACTGGAATTATGAATGAAAATAGCTTACAAACTCCTATAAATATGATTTAAGAAATGGTGATAATAGTCCTTCAACTCTTTGACCACTTGCTCCGCTACCCTCGAAGTTCCCCAAATAGTGAGGTGCGGTCCTCTTCTTTAGATCTTCAGATTTCAGACTTTTAATCCTTTACAGAAATAGTCCCTCAAAAGTAAAACAAGAAACAAAAGTTATGATTGTAAAATATTATATATTTTAACAATAAAGAAACAAAGGTAAAGATATAAAGATAAAAATATTTTTCTGTTATTTTATATATATATATATATATATATATATATATATATAAATTTATGTCATGTTTCGTAAAACCTCTGTTGAGAGGTTGGTCAAAAGATATTTTTAGCCAAAT